ATGCATTGCGGTGTTTGAAAGTAAATGAAGATATGATCTTCGCACTTTGCTGGACAATTTTTAAGCAATCGTCCCAGGACCTGAAAAAATCAGGTGACTCTTCATTTAATTTCAAACACCGCACTGCATAAAAACATTCATATTACATTCATTTCACGAGAAAACATGAGCCCAACAAATATTGACCTGCTCACCACTGTGTGACTTCATAGCTCAGTGGTCAGAGCACTGCACCGGCACCGCAGAGGTCATGGGTTCGAATCCCGTTGAGTCACCTGATTTTTTCAGGTCCTGAGACGATTGCTTAAAAATTGTCCAGCAAAGTGCGAAGATCATATCTTCATTTAATTTCAAACACCGCACTGCATAAAAACATTCATATTACATTCATTTCACGAGAAAACATGAGCCCAACAAATATTGACATGCTCACCACTGTGTGACTTCATAGCTCAGTTGGTCAGAGCACTGCACCGGCGAAGATCATATCTTCATTTGGATTGAAGACAGTAAAATACTTTGGACAAACCTTTATTTTCAACGATACATTGTGAAAATTTGAATGCTTCGAGAGCAAGTATACCTTTTTAGGGAGGTACAACTTGAGGGGGAGTAAATTTTTTTGACGGGGGTGGTTGGATAAAATACTCATAGACGAGGAGGGGTAAAAGTCAAACCATAACTCAAAGCAATTAACATTTGCCATCACAGTGATAAAGGTAAACAATTTCCCGCTAAATTTGGAGAAATGGCTTCCTCATGACGCAGTCTAAACACTAGAAAATGTAAAGGAGAATTAAAACTTACTCTTTCTCTGACATTGCATCCATTGCTGCTTTCCACTTCCTTGATGAGATGAATTTCCGTTGCTCTTCTTAAAGAATCACGCCGATCTGCACGAAAAGAAGAGAGATGTATCGCTTGACTGAGTGGCTAAAAGATGGAAGCGTGCTTTATATTCCCGATATCACGGAGAAAATTTGTTAATTTCTTTCATTGTATGGACATGTTGCCATATCCAACTGGAAACACTCAAAGGAAAACTATAGTTTGAAAGCTTCGTTATTCTGTAAGGTACATACACGTTTGGTATTTTCTTCAAATGTTCAGACATGCATGTTAAACAAGACACCAAAACATTCAATCAACAATTAGGAGGACAACGAACTAGTTTAAAACAAAATGTTACTTCTAAACATGGTAATGTCTAAGCAAAGGAAGACTAGTTGAAGTTTTAAAGAATTGTCGATTTAGCACCGATTGATACAGTAACAAAGTTATTTTTAACTAAGATTAGATATGAGGCTGAAGTAGGGAGCAAAGTAAAACTTGGCATATAAGAGCCTAGATTTTAACAACCAATTAGGCTAATATTTCAGAAGGAAACTTAAACTGATCTAACTTTATTTATACTAGATATCTCTATCAGTTCTGAACAGTTCTTACTGTAAAGATCATCTCTTATTGATCCAGTGTTACTACAGAAAGAGGCCTAAACTAAACTAACTTTCTTTAGACTAAAGATCTCTATCAGTTCTAAACTTTTCTTTCTAATGATCCAGTAAAGATCATATCTTGTGTACGATTCCCGCCTGGTTTATCGATCGTAACTTAATCTATATATACTAGATATCTCGATCAGTCTTAAACTGTTCCTTGCCTAGATCAACAAAATCATCTCTCATTGATCTTGCACATGTTGAAATAATACCAACAGTTACAACAAACCATATTTACCTGTAGCAATTTTAAAACCAACAACATCCCAAGTCAAGACGGTGAACTCCCCCAAGACATCTTTCTCCCAATATGGCTGCTGTGAACTACCATCGCTTGTGTTGTATAATATCACACCATTTAACGGTTCCTGTCTTTTTGTCCGACAATGTACTTTCTCGATGGTGCCTTGAAATGTGTCTTTGCTCACATCATCAAATTTCACTGTACCTTCTGGTAGACGCTCCACTGAGAGGGGAACTTCTTTACCTGACAAAATAATTGGCCAAGTTTTTACAAACAAATTTTACAAATTTCCAAAAATAAACTTGTTGCTGTCGTCAGCTATCACAAAAATACGTCAGATGAGTCACGTGACACGTTTGCAAACCGAAAATTTCCAATCCTACGTCAAATGCCAATCAGAAGTCATCGTGTGTAAAATAAATTACAAATGATCAAATCGTATACATAAGTGAAATAACTGATAAAACTTATTTTGTATTAAACAATAAATTATCAATATTGATCTACAGGGAGCAACTGCAACGGCCCAAACACAAACCTCGTTCACTTTGTCAGCTCTGTCGATGAAGCCAAACGATTCAATGAGCGAGCAGATAATTCCTTGAACGTAAACAAGAGGCGAAGCTTCGAGCAGCAACAACTCCACGGCACAGCATTGCCCATTTCTATAGAGGTTTATGAACTGTAGCAGTGCATCAAACAAACAACAATTTGGACATGACTCGTAAATTGGACATGGTTCGTGTAAATAATAAACTAACGTTCATGTTATAAGCGTTAACCAAAGCGTTTTCTTGTGTAAGGTAGCATATCAAAACGTAGAAATAAGGAGAAAGACTTCACCAAAATAGAAAGAACATTCTTAAGACTGCGCATTCATTGCTTAACCACGTAATGTAATGCACGTGATGAAGCACGTGATACAATCTAGAGAAACAGTACAAGCTTTCAACGCTATAGCAAAGAATATAATTTACCTTTTGTTTTCCAGGATGTAAAAAGACACAGTATCACCTTTGTAGATGTGAGACTTTGATAAAACATCAGCTTGATAATGTGGAAGAAAAAAAATTCCTGAAGGAAAAGGAGCAATGGTTAGAATCATAAAGATCCACCCCCTAACAGTGCAGACCTGTATTATGCAATGATCTTAAACTCCACCCCCTGATCATGCAGACGTTTACTATGCAATGATTTTAAGCGCCACCCCCTGACCGTGCAAACCTGTATTATGCAATGATCTTAAACTCCACCCTCTGACTGTGCAGACCTGTATAATGCAATGATTTTAAACACCCCTGATCGTGCAAACCTGTATTATGCAATGAACTTAAACTCCACCCCCTGATCATGCACACGTTTATTATGCAATGATTTTAAACACCACACCCCTGACCGTGCAAATCTGTATTATCCAATGATTTCAAACACCACCCCCTGACCGTGCAAACCTGTATTATGCAATGATTTTAAACACCACCCCCTGACCGTGCAAACCTGCATTATACATTCATTTTAAAGTCCACCCCTGACAGTGCAGACCTGTATTATGCAATGAACTTAAACTCCACTCCCTGATCATGAAGACGTTTATCATGCATTGATTTTAAACACCACCCCCCTGACAGAGCAAACCTGTATTATGCAATGAACTTAAACTCCACTCCCTGACCATGAAGACGTTTATTATGCAATGATTTTAAACACCCCCTGACCGTGCAAACCTGTATTATGCAATGAACTTAAACTCTACCCCCATGACAGTGCATACCTGTATCATGCAATAATCTTAAACTCCACCCCCCTGACCGTGTAGACCTGTATATTGAAATTATCTTAAACTCCACCCCTGACAGTGCATACCTGTCTCATGCAATTATCTTAAACTCCACCCCCCTGACATTGCATACCTGTATCATGCAATGATCTTAAACTCATGTCATCTGATCTAATCCTAATCCCATATTGCAGTATAATTTTAACTCATCAAGGGCGAGAATACAGTGGCGCTATAATAGCCTCGATAATTGTGGGGGTGGGGAGGGTAGTCAATGTTTATGTAGGTATGCATGTCAAAAAGCCTAAAAAATTAATTTAATACGGCAAAATATGCATAGCAACCTTTCTATGGTGTGGAGGGAACGATCAAAATCCAAAAAGGAAATAACGGCGAAAACCTGTTTCAATAAAGATGAAGGAAATGTCAATAATTTGCAGGCAGTAATCTACAGTTTCCCTTATCGTCATGTCATTAACTTTCTTGCCTGTTTAAATTTTGGGATTTTTGCCCAAAGCAAATATTTTGCTCACTGGTGTGTTCTGCATTTATTGCCCAATCGATAAATGTTCGATAAAAGATGTTGAGTAAAAAGTCTGATACTTTTTATATTTTACATTAATTCTTCTCTCTCAAACCCCCAAAAAAAAAATGACTTAAGTATTAAAGTTAGCCACGTAAAGATGCATAAGAAATGGAAGAAGTTTAAACAGTACTTACTCCATTCACTTCATAACTAACGACCACATTGGACTCGCCATTGAAATAACTGCTACAAAAATAATGATGAAACTCTTTGAAAACGACATCACAAACATTCAAAGTACAATAAAACAACAGGAATACGCAACTCAAAAAATTCATACACGACCATTAACAACGAGTAATTTTAAAGCAATATGCATAATGAACAGTGGTGTAGCAAGCACGATAACTGGGGGGAGGGAGTAGCACATATCTATATATTCCACATATGCATGTCCTGCCGTATTGAGTTCCATTGTGTTCCATGCATAAAGACGTGCATAGATGAATTTGTTATCTACCCACCACTCCTCATCCCTTAATTAACGCGTTTGCTTCGCCACTGACTATTACATTTTCCCAGCTAATTGATCACGATGAAAATCACCTGTTTGGGGTAGCTGTATCTCGACAATCTCGCCTCAACTTCCACTTTACCAACAACTCTTTCCTCGCTTTTTTCCTACAAAGGAAACATAAATGGATGATTCACCAAAAGACGATTTCTCAATTTCTCGTAAAACTTTGTAAACCAAACCAGGATGAACGTGCATACACGGCAAGATGTCAATAATACACATGTTGATGTCAAAGCACTCATTGCCGGTCAAATGTAGTTCAATACAGTTAAATGTAGATGAATGTATTCAAATGTAATTGAATGTACACAAAAGTAGATGAATGTATTCAAATGTAGATGAATGTATTCAAATGTAGTTGAATGTACACAAAAATAGATGAATGTATTCAAATGTACATGAATGTATTCAAATGTGGTTGAATGTACACAAAAGTAGATGAATGTATTTAAATGTACATGAATGTTTCCAAAAGTGGTTGAATGTACACAAAAGTAAATGAATGTATTCAAATGTAGATGAATGTTTTCAAATGTGGTTGAATGTATACAAATGTGGTTTAATGTCCTCAAACAGGGTGCAAATTACACAAATGGGTATGTGAATTTCAGTTGAAGGTATTTTCCCAACTACACCAGCAATAGCACCAGTATTTCCACCGTCTACAAGATAAAAATGAATGACAAATCATAACATTACCAACCAATGTTGTCTTTAAGCGATCATTTTATCATTTTTCTAAAGCTGAGGGTGTAACCGCTCTCACACCTCATGTATTCATCCCTGTCAACTATTCATGATTTATTTATGGTATAAGTTAGGTTTGGAACGCAATGAAGTTAGAGACGAAGTACACAAAATCACTAAGGCAGTTATTTGTTGCAATTAAATCGGTTGTATCATCAAATAATATCTCTACTCATCCTTAAAAAATTTCTGGCACTTGTCTGTACTGAGATTTACAAATATTTTGAAGCATTGCACTTTAGACATCGATAAATTTCCCTTATGCTATTGAAAGCAAACACAAACCTGAAGACTTGTGCTTTTGGGCAGTTGCTGCCACTGGACTCGAGTCAGTGGAATAATAATCACCCTGAAACGAAGTGAACATTTATATTTGAATATAAATTGCAGCAATCAATGCAGATGAAAATGTATAAAAAATATCGCACCTGATCATTAATGAAAATGCGTTGAAATATTTTGTAGTTAGTGCCAATCTTCAACGGGCCATTATAGTAATTTTCACCAATGGAACGAAAAAAACGATACGGTAGCGATATAAATTCCATTAAAGAGTGAACGTTAATCATCGTGCAGAGCAATGACAAATGGACATTTTTTGAAGCACGAAATGAACTAGCAAGAATAAAATTAATTTAATCCCCAGTATTCGCAGCAACCCTGTCTGAATTATTCATTATCCAAGAGTAGCAATAGTTTATATTTTGATATATTTGTAAAAGAATAATTGTGAAATTCTCCAAGTTAGCGTAAAATACAGTGACACCACGATGACAGATGTAAGTCTTGGTGATAGAGGTAAGTCATGATGCTCAACAAAAGACAAATGTAAGTTGAGAACACAAAAGTAACACATTTATTCCTTAAATTCTTCGCTCAAAACTTTTTCTAACGTCATACAAATGTGTCCTACAATACGTTGAATAGAAGAGGTACACAAAATTCAGTACTTGACATTGGCAAGTACTCATGTGTATAATGTAACCTCAAGTACTCATGTGTATAGTGTATAGTCAAGTACTCACGTGTATAGTGTATAGTCAAGTACTCATGTGTATAGTGTACGGTCAAGTACTCATGTGTATAGTGTACGGTCAAGTACTCATGTGTATAGTGTACCCTAAAGTATACATGTTAATCAACAGAACGTCTCATCGTTATTTTCTAAATCAATGTTGTCCTACAACAATATGTTTACAAAATCTTTGTGGTTGAGAGTAACAACGAATGAAAACTTTAAACATACAACATAAGTATTTGTAAACACTAAATGATAAAAAAAAATTGCTTACCTGTTTTTTAAAGACAAGAAAAGCAAAAGTAAAAGCAAAACTTTGTCGTTCGCCATTTAAAAAAAAGTTACAATTTGCATGCCTTCATCGAAATGAATTTGTAAAAATCGAAAACGCAATTTCTCCATGTACAAATAATCAAATCTTTAAAATACAAATCTTTTTGACAATTGTCAATTGGCTAGCGTATAAACTTAACTGTCTCGATGACACTGAAGAAAATACTGCAGTGTTGATTTGAAACAAATTACTCAACAGGAGATTTTAAGATGATATCAACCCATAGACATATCGGCACAATACCGCATTCTTTAAAGGTACAAAATCCACTTCTTCTTAAGATCACGTGATCACGAAGATTCTTTAATGATTTCTAGTCTTCTCGGCCCGTATAGCAACACATATGCACAATGCCAGTCACCTAAAGGAGAAACAGCCTTAACCAAGGATCATTAAAATAAACCAGACATTCAAATAAAATCAAAGCTATTTTGTATGACATAGAAGTGGGGTGTTGCAATTGTAGAAGACTATCTGCGATAGACTATTTCTGTTGGGAAAGACGTCTTTCGTGCAAAGTATATACATGTTTATTTGATTTTATGGAATGCACGTTAATGCTACTTTATTGTTATGCCGGCATAAATAAATATTATTGATTTTCGACTAATGCTCTTGATTATTCCTTCGCGCTAATGAATTTTCTAAATGACTATTGATAAGTCAAAGCGTATAATGGAATGTTCAATGTGCTCCAATGATGAGCAAATGATGTATTAAAATAGACTAGATTAAAATTATTTAAGAAATAAAAGATTTTTACTGTGTTTGCACAGGCTTATGAAAACCGAGGAGACCTTTGGGTGAACTCGAGAGAAGATCAGTGCAAGCCCGAGACCGAAGTTCGAGGGTTGCACATGCTCGAGATTTTGTTTCGCTTTCGTTTCAACGTCTCAATTGACGATGAAACCCACGCAAAATAAGTCTTTTCCTAGCTGAAAAGTTTTAGCCGGCATGAAGAAAGGTAACATTATATTTGAAAGAATGTTTAGACATTGTGATACGATAATTGATTGCAATATATATAAAAATTGCAATACCATTGAGAGGCTCTAACCCAAACACAAAAAGAAGCAAAAACATGATCATAAGGCATTGACAAAATTTTCAAAGAACCCTTCCTCTAAATTCAACTAAAACTTCAGCAGCAGATACCTAACACAATGATAATCACCATTAAAACTTAGGCAGAGGATGATCTTACCTCCCCCGGATAATTTCAAAACATCTTCTTCAGTAATGTGCGTTATTTTATCGTCGTCGCACTTAATCCAAGAGTCTAAAATATAAAGTAAATGGTTTGAACCCGGGAGTATAGCTACATGTTTGTGGATGTAGATAGAGCCCTGAGAAAGACTCTTGTTGTTGAATGATGACTAAAGTTTCGACAACCTTAGCGGGAGTCATCTTCATCTAAAGTTGTCGAAACGTCAGTCAACACCAGCAACAGTCATTCTCAAGAGTCTAAAATATATTAACAGAACATAAAAGCGCATTGCATCCCCTGCAAAATTAGTTCCAGACATTGATTACACAACTTAAGCGCATGTTTTCATACTCAAAAGTCGGACAAAATTACGATTGAAAAAAAAGACAAACGAAAAGAGGAAGTTGAAGCGTTCGCCCCACCTACCACGTGTAAACTAACACCTGTCATTTCAAGACATGATTAATGATATTAAACGGACGCTTGCTGCCCACACAGATTTATTTAATATAAGACCAATGCAAGGATTCCCACTTCATTCCACGTCCATCGTTTCTACGTTTTTACTTCATCATTCTCTTCGTTTGAAAAGTTTTTCGCAAAAATGGCTTTGAGTTGGAGGTTTTCTGTCATGTTCTGCTTCAGTGTATTCGATCTGGGTAAGTTGTTGGAATTTAAATCATCACGAACAAGTGAACACTTTTTGGTAGAAATTCACTCAATTTGTCGTGAAGTTCTTTTTTCTTGAAGTTACTGTGATTTGAAATGATGGCGATGACGCCACAGTTGATGCAAAAACAGCAAACGGACATTTTAGATTCTTTATTCAATGATTTTTTAATACGTAACTCGTGTTTGCATGAGACTTGTCTCTACGCAAACAAATACTTGGTTTCAACTTAAATCATATCAACTTTCACAAAACGGCGCTCGATGCTTCAACCGTGACTAACTTAAACATATTTCATCACACTCAGTAATAAAACAACTACTTCGTAGCTAAAATACATCAATCCTAACTAAGCAGTTTCTTTTGCGTTGACCACAACGTACTCATCCCAGTGAATTAAAACTGGCGCTCATTCTCGAAAGTAACCGCCCCCTTGAGCCCCCCCGCACACATAGTAACCGCCCCGTAAAAGAATTTCCCTTAATGGAACCACCCCCCTAAAAGGAAGCACCTTCTTACAAAACAAAGTTTTTTCGAATGAGTAAAAATAGACTGTCAAATTTCATTTAGCAATTTCCTAAAGAGTTCTTACAGGAACAAATGATGAGATAGAGCGTTTATAATCGAATTTCCTTCTTTAGCTTGTCAAAGTGTAGTTTCAAAATCGTTGTTCGTCAGTCAAAATGGCGCAGATTTTCCATCGTGTGGTTTTAGAAATCGTCCTTGTCGAACGATCAGACACGCCATAACGATTGCAAGGCCTGGTGAGAAGATTCTCATTGAATATGCGCACAAGCCATATGACGAATGCCAAGATTCAAGAACAGTTACATATCTTAACAAGTCCCTAACGTTCATAGGTCACAAAAGCAAACCGACAATTGAATGCAAAAGAGGAGCTCAATTATTCAAAATACCATCACTGAATGAAAAGATCACCATAAACACGACGAATTTGATTCTGATATCTTCAAACTCGGCCATTCGCTGCGATAAACGATCAAGATTCGCACTTTACATCAGGAAATGCGTTTTCCAAGTTTCCAATATAGCAATCGCAACAAAATCAGCTCACGATTGTTCCATCACGATCCTCAAGAGTACTTTTTATGGTCGTACGTTCCCATCGGCGTCAATGAGTTGTCTAAATCTAACAGCACATCTTGTCGACAGTACATTTCGCGCCAGTTCTGTTTCTCTTCGAACAATTACGGAAAAAAAGACACTCTACGTTCAACATACGACCGTTTTCGTGTCAAACTGTCATTTTCATGGCGAGCAAAAGAAAATGTGCGGATCGGTTCTACAAATATTGCCAATGGCAGTCTATAGTAATGTCACAATTGTAAGCAGCAAATTCGCAGATCATTTTGGAATATGCACTGGAACTAAAACAGGAACTAAAACAGGAAATACGCTTTATATCAAGGGGAACAAGTTCGCAAAGAAACGAAAACAAACGCTTATTCATCTAAATAACCTAACACTAAAAGACAACCGTTGCACAGGAACAATACTTCGACTTGAGCCGCTGCAAAAAAAAAGTAGATATCTTTGATGTTGTTATTTCTAATTCGTTATTTGAAAACACATCATCCGTTTTGTACGTTTTTTTTGATCGTTCGCGTGGTGGCCTTCGAGGCAAAGCTGTACGTTTCGTCAACAACACTTTCATAAACACGCATAAATATCGCTCAAGTCGTTTTTACAATCTCCATTTAAATCCTGGAAAATTTCTGTTCACAAAATGCACGTTTATCGATAACTATGGCGGAAATGAGCCCAACGATGCTGTCATTGGCGTAGCCTCATACAGTGTTTCCGTCATATTTAGGGACTGTTATTTCGAGAACTCGAATCCTGCATCGTCCTCGACGCTAATCTTCTCACAAAAAAAGAACTTCGTGGTGTTTCAAAAAAACAACACGTTTAATATCACCGCGACTCAACATGAACTAAACGTCATCGCGTACATTTTCACGAAGCCCTATAATGTACGTCGTTTCCGTCTTCAGGACAACTTCAAGATCCTTTGTCCCTACGGATATGTGATGTCCAAAAAGATGTTTTGTTACGAGGGCAAAAATAAGGCATACGTTGAATGCAACGATTTCGTGGTAAAATGTAAACCATGTCAGCGGAATACTTATTCGGTAAGTCGTGCGATACTTCATAACAATATCACCAACAGTATCAATTGTCAGGACTGCGCGAATGGCGGTCAATGTTACAATGGTCACCTGACAGCAAAGCCAAACTACTGGGGACATAAAGTCAACCAATCAGTCCGCTTCATACGATGCCCACACGGTTACTGTTGCCAAGGCAATGACTGCGTCACATACAGTAGTTGCCATGGAAAGAGACAAGGTAAAATTTGCGGGGAATGCCCGCATGGCATGTCGGTATCGTTGTTTTCTGCAGCATGCATTCCAAATGCTAACTGCGGTCATTATGATGCTATTCTCTTTGGCCTCGGCTACTGTATCGTTTATTTAGTGTTTTTTCTCTACCATAAAGAAATAATTCGATTTGTCAGGCGAATTTTTTTCACTTCCTCCAAAGAAACCAACAGCGGATTGTTGAAGATCGTATTCTACTATTACCAAATCAGCCGTTTCTTGGTGAGTCCAACTAATTTTGAATCCCGTCAAACAGCCATGACGGAAGTACGTAATAAGATCGGAGAAATTTTCAACTTCATCATCATGAGTATTCCATTCCTGGAATGTCCAATTCGTGACCTTAATGACGTCACAAAACAAACAATCCTTCACTCGCTGGGCTACGTCCTTCACATTTCTTGCCGTGCTGTTCACGGCAACAATTTTAAAGAATTTCGTCTGTAAACGCTTTAAATCTTACACGTCACGAGACATCCCGTTTTCCATCGAGACTGATGCAAGAGACGACGGAAAAGACCAAAGTTTCGAGGCGCGCATTGCTTCAGCATATACGCTCATCTCCTCCTTATGTACGCATCATCCACTCAACTCTGTTTATCCTTGCTGCATTGTGTTCCATTGGATGATGAACAAGTTCTCCACATTAACGGCAACGTTAAATGTTATCAGCTATATCAATATATTTTCCTGGCATATTTCATAACATCCATACTGCCGTTTTGTCTTGTTCCTGTTCTCGGATCGCACCTTCTACGACTTGAAAGATCACCGTCAAGCACTTCTGTATCGCTTGCCTCTTCCCTCTACCCTTCTGCTGCTATTGGCTGTATCTATTCACAAGGATACGCGGTTTCACGAGAATGGGACAACATAACAACGACCATACGATGCAGGATATATGTGAGATAAACACGAACAATGAAGAAACAAACATCGAATGTCATACCGCAAAGAGTACGAACAGTATTTCTAGGATACTTCATGTCTTACAGGGTCCATTCAGACTTTATAAAGCCGATGAATGTTCCACAACTTCGCGCATACCGTGGGAAGGATTTCTCATCTTTCGTAGACTGGTTTTAATTGTCGTGCTGACTTTTCTCTACGATGTTAAATTACGAATGCTGGTCGCTTTAACGATCTGCGTGGCGATTTTGATATGTCACATGCTGGTGTTCCCCTTTCAGACCAAACGCGATAATATCGTGGAGTCTATCTTTTTAGCTATACACGTTATTTTATGCGGGATTACCTTGGTCAAGACTCTTTATCATGAAGAAGGTAACGGTTCTTATAATGCGGAGAAACTCCTCGCGTTGGATGCAATACGAGATATAATAATACTTTCACCGATGTTTATTATATTAATGGCTGTTGTTCTTTCACTTGTTATAAAGATCTCGAATGGATTAAAATGTTTTGCAACGGGCTTGTTTAGAAAAATAAAACGCACAGGAAATTGACGTAACGTTGGACTTGACCTTTACGAAAAAAGCTCGCAGCAACGAGACATATGTTGACAATATAAAAGCAAAAGCGAAGCTCGCGAATCTTTTGTGTTTAAACGTTTGAATCGAGGTGTTTATCACCCCGATGCAAAATGTTTAGTACCTAAGGTCAGAAGGGGTTGAAGAAAGAAACTATAGTCCAATGATATAAGACTTTACTCCCTATTACACCCTTTGATCCATGCAATTTAATAACCTTTACTCACTGTTACTCCCTTTGATCCATGCCACATAATGACCAGATGACGATGATCGTCCTTGATGAGTCAGAACAGCTTGCAACTGGTAAAAACCACTGTTATTAGAGCCAGTGTCTGAAAATCAAACAAAGATTAGAAAGGTTCATGCATGGATAACGAGGGATCCGGTACTTCATACATGAATAGCATGGGTAATGTAATTTATGCATGGACGAGGAGGATAATCTACTACACGCATGGATGAAATGGGTAATGTAATTCATGCATGGATAAGAAGGGGTAATGCACTTCATGCATGGAAAAGGAGAGTAATCTACTACATGCATGTATGAAAGAGGTAATGTACTTCATGCATGGATAAGGAGGGTAATCTACTACATGCAAGGATAAGAAGGGGTAATGTACTTGATGCACGGTGACAGAAGACAAATTGAACACTGCTTATAATTTTTGTAATTCGAAAAAAATTTATGCATTTAAAGAACAATACTATTATTTTAAATATATAAGAAAGATTACATCAAGATAATATACAAAATTAAGTATGAAAGATTTTAACGTATGAATCTACTGGTCATTAAACCAAGAGTAAAAAACTAAAAGTGACATTTTATCGTTTCATCAACTGCGTCAGTTTTTACGACACAACGTTTTTCAAGAGCTATTTGCAAATGTTTCGGCTTAAGAATAGAAGCTGTATTCGTCATGTCAGCTTCCACTCTCTGATACTTCATGTTTACCAATGTCATACGGTAACTATATAACATCCGGGCAATGACATCGAACACAACCATCTTCGCGAGAGTCTCTCCGACACAAACGCGACTGCCTGCCGAGAATGGAAGCGTCGAGAAAGGCGGTGGTGTCGAATAATTTCCACAGCTATTCAAAAATCGGGCTGGCCTAAAGACATGCGGGTCATGCCAAGTTCTTGCGTCATTATGAATAGCAAAGGCATTTACGATTACAGTCGTGTCTTTAGGAATGTGAAAACCGTTAATTTTTGCATCGGATGTTGCCCTATGGGGTAGAAGTAAAGGTACAATAGACCCATATCTTAACGTTTCTGTGATGCTTGCCCAGAGCAAAGGTAGTCGATGACGGTCGGAAAATGTCGGGGGAGAATCGGGGCCTAGAACTTGCATCATCTCTTCGTAAATCTGATCTTGTATATCTGAATGAAAAGCCAAGAGATACAGCCCCCACGTGATCACTGACGTCGAGGTTTCAATTCCCGCTAGAAAAATATCTTTTATCATACAAGTTATTTCTTCCTTCGTTAAAATGACGTCATTACTCTTACTATCCATGATGTCATCTGATTGCTTCTGAAACGCATGCGTCAAATCGTAGTCTTCCACTGGATTTGCGGTTTCGTGCTCCCCGTATATTCGCAAAACAATCGTGTCCAAAAGATTAGTGGCCGACTTAAGTTTAATCACGCTCTTCAAAGGCAATCTCCTTAGCAACGGGATGGCATCAATGAGGTTGCCAGGGGCAACATACTGCTGCACAACATTAAAAGTGTTCATGAGAGCATGGAATTCTGGGTCATCTTTGTCGTATTTGAACCCAAATGTTATGGCACAAATGATGTTAGCAACACAATGAAATATATCTTGCGGAATGTTTCTTGGAGTGACCGTTTTTTCTCCCAGGTCAGCCAAAAGATCCTTTATGACGTCACAAGCCTTATTTTCAAGACTATTACCAAACGTCCTGTAAGCAGCATAAAATATTTTACGTTGTTTCTTCCAACGCTGAGAAATTTCTTTCGAAAAGCGATATTCTTACCATCGTGACTAAACAAAATGGCCGCGTAAGGTAGGTTCAACGGTCGTCCACCAAAAACAAATGATTGCCTCACGAGTACCTCCCGAGCCATTTCCGAGCTGCTCACGACAAGCGCACGCTCGCTTCCGAAGTAGATTGTCATTAGATCGCCATATTTCTTAGCAAGCTTTGCCAAATCAATATGAACGGTCGTACCAATCAAATTTAAGTTTCCCAGAAAGGGAAGGGGAAATGGACCGGGTGGCAGATCACGTGACGTTAAATGTGACCAATAGAAAAAGAGAACTCTCCAGAAAAAATATATCAAAATAATGCCAACTAATACTTCGATCATGGCGCAAAACGATATCAGAAATGCTGTTAAGCGTTTTCTAAGAGTCTACGCGTGCCAACACAAAATAATTGCAATGTAATCCGATTGAAGTTTCACTTTTTGGAGTACAAAAAAACTCACGTTTCAATAATCAATAACGTACCAATAATTCTTTTTCCAGGAGAGCACTTCATTCAGAAAACAAACGATGTAGTGAATAATCTTCTCCCCAACGATTTCAACTCGTATATTTTAAAGGCCTTTATAGGGAACATTCGTCAAAACGCTATCAGTGAGTGTTGAAAAGGAAATAACGATTTTCCTCACTTTATCCAAAACACTTCTCCAAAATGAAGTCAACAGTGTCCAAATTGTTGCGATAATCGATTTATTGCGCGTACCACGAAATAACAACAATACACGGTTAGATTATTTACCTCGAAAAGAGGGCAACGCTCCACGTTAATGCTTTTCTACGCCACGAATCAAGGTTTTACACAAAATGTGTACTTAAGTAGAATTTGTCAACCTTGATGCCAGTGCAAGAAGATTGTAAATATAAAATACGTTCGCTTGTTAAATAGACACGCTTCGTTACATACTTAATCTTTGGCAAAGTGGCAAAGCCATTATTGAAGCAGAAGTGATGACGCCAGACCGACACAATGTTGCATCATGGGCAATCAAAAGGACATAATTTTACTAACAGATTTGATGTTAACCTTTAGACGAGCCCAATAAGACTGGAAATACAAACGTGTTTGCTTGTTAAAAAGATGCGCGCTTCATTTCATCTTTAATCTTTTGGCAAGCCTTGCAACCATTATATGTTAAATGTATTTTTGAAAGGAGGAAACGACAGAAAGTATTCTTGAATCACAAAATTCGGCCGTTCTGCCGGCAATTTAAAAGACAAATTATTCTTTGATCTTTGTTTTAAAAGATATTTCAAAATTTCAAGCAGTTTGCGTCATGAATTTATGAACTGCGAATTACTGGCTGTGTTCCAAAACCATTTAAATAAAACCTAATAAATCGAATCTATTTCATGCAATCGATAGTTTCTTAATCTTAACTATCAAATCCAATTCTATAGCAACTTACCATCAGAAAAAGAGTATGGTTGGTATTCCTTTACGTCAGAATCGACATCCATTTTATCAACACCAGATTTCTTTCCCTCAAGCTTAGCTTTCTAAATACGTAAAAGCACAAACAACATATGTTAAAAAAAATTCGATCAGACAAAAATATTTTCTAAAGCGTATACATCACAACATAGACACACCATAATTAAAATCTTCAAGTACACTCGAGTACCCTCAAGTATCCTCGAGTACCCACTTTAACAGCTCCATACCTATTTTACCCAACCTCACCCTTTTAATGATCACACATTTGAAAGGTGGCAAAAAACAAACCCTTGACATACATTCATCTCCAAGTCTCTGAACAACGAGATTATGTGCATTAAGTATGGACTTTGTCAGGTTCTCAGACGACATTGCATAAAGAATGGGGTTGGGTATTTTAATAAAAAGTAATATTGAAGCATGTGAATTACATATAAAATGCGAAAACAATTTGTGTGAAAATTTACTTAGTCCCCAGCCTCTTTTTATTTAGCCTCTCGCCTTTACTAATCCTCATTTGAATGACAACAATAAATCCCACAGGGGGAGGGGGGTATAGAGAGAAAATAAAATATTATTGGTATCCTCAAGTACTCATGTTTATAGTGTATCCTCAAGTACTCGTGTATATAGTGTATCCTTAAGTACTCATGTGTATGATGTATCCACAAGTACTCATGCGTATAGTGTATCCTGAAGTACTCATGTGTATAGTGTATCCTCAAGTACTCATGTGTATAGTGTATCCTTAAGTATTCATGCGTATAGTGTATCCTTAAGTATTCATGTGTATAGTGTATCCTCAAGTACTCATGCATATTGTGTATCCTCAAGTACTCATGTGTATCATGTATCCTTAAGTACTCATGTGTATAGTGTATCCTCAGGTACTCGGCTAGCGTATAAACTTAACCGTCTCGATGACAATGAAGGAAATACTGCAGTGTTGATTTGAAACAAATTACTCAACAGGAGATTTTTTGATGATATCAATCCATAGACATATCGGCACAATACCGCATTCTTTAAAGGTACAAAATCCACTTCTTCTTAAGATCACGTGATCACGAAGATTCTTTAATGATTTCTAGTCTTCTCGGCCCGTATAGCAACACATATGCACAATGCCAGTCACCTAAAGGACAAACAGCCTTAACCAAGGATCATTAAAATAAACCAGACATTTAAATAAAATCAAAGCTAAGAAACTTGCTGCTGTACATATAATTAGATAACAGACTACCGTTAGCCAGCTCAGCACTCCTATTACTCAAAAAAAAATCAATTTACTAGCTGTCAATATAGTAATCATACGCGCAATGAGATATACGTAGCACAAAAAATTCAATGGACTTGCTCTACTGTATTTTTACTATACTGTCAATAAGTGAAGACTTGTAGCTATTGATTATGAGGCCCTCATTAAGGGAGAGTTTGTATGAATCGTGAGAAGAGGAAATTCTTTCAAAGTCGTCCATATTGGGGGTATCTCCAGACATGTTTATGTTAGCAAAAATGCTCGATAACGCAAGCCGTGAGGTTTGGTTACCTTCAAATGGAGATATTCTCATGTGCTACGAAAATCCGATGTGTAAATGACGTGTGATTTGACCCATATACAATACGTACAGCTATAACACTTTAATGAAAACAGAACATCCAATCTCTGAGGTTTGAGAACTTTTTCCTTAAAGGGGAGAAAGAAAATATACGTTAAGAAAGGTGGAAAACAAATTTGATTAGTACATGCGGAAAAGCGGCAGCACTAAGGCGATTTATTTATGTGTGTATTTGAATGGAATGCATACCTGTGAAAAAAAGACAGAAGTAGATGGATTTTTTGTGAGCAGTAATGACGGGAGGTTTTGGGAAAAAGGTGTTGTCGAGGAAGCGACGTGTTATTTGGTCAAATACGCGGGAAAGAAAGCCTTTTTTGATGAGTAACTATCTCGTAGATTCAAGTAAAACAAAAATTTTCAAAGGCTAAACAAAAGTTTGTAAAACATTTTAAAGGTTTTAAAGATTTGTAAAAAACTTTCAAAGATTTGAAAAAGATTTTCGAAAACAAAGATTTGATGAAATATACACACGTGAGGCTAGTGAACGTTTGTGATAAACGGAACGCAGCTGCAATGCATCGTACGTGGGTTAAGCCACACGTCCTTACAGACCAGATTTTCGAAGCATTTTGGAAAAATTCCCCTTGCAGGTAACCAAATGTCAAGCCCTGCAACGAAAACAACCGTGCACCAATTGACATAGAAAGCCTGCAAATTTGTCTTGCTATGTAAATAATCTTTACTAACTGTATTAAAATAACAGATTTCTAAAGAAACAATGATTAGTGATTGTTTCTTTAGTGATTGTTTCATAAATATCAGTGATTTAGTCTAGCTTTTGTCTTTTACTATATCGTATTAATTTGGTAAATTTATGTTTGAGCTACGTTTTCCGGAAATAAAAAGGATCATTTGGGTTCTATAAAGCTAAATGTACATACAGGCAAAGCAATATCATGATAGTCATCAAGCATGACAATAACTTCAAAAAATCGATTTATCGAAATATCACCCAACCCTAATCATAAATGTGACAAAGTGTTTGTAAACATCAAAATCCCCTTTCGAACACGAATTTAATAATAATAAAATTTTTTATGGTCTATTTTGTAGTGGCTGCATAGTCCATTACTGAAAATAGCGCTGGGTGTTGATGCAATTGGGGCTTCAAGAGAATAATGAAGACAAGCTTACCGCTGTTTCAACGAACTGTGGCGTCTTTTCTGGATCAGCTTGATGCATTGGAACGCATTAATCGCTTGGACAGTTTTGACTCGGTCGACAAGATTTTAGATAGCAATATAGGTACCACAGTGACCTGCTCCGTCACTGGATTAAGAAAATAAATATTTTTGTGTTTGTTGCAAAATTCTTGTAGAGATCTTCACTTAGACCTTAAACCGCCAAATTATAACCACGAGAGCGACGAGGTTAATCACTTGCTAATATTTGAGTCACACGTGTTTTACCTGCATATAACAATGACAGGTCTATTTACATCAGCAGCTCTTTGTGAATGTTCAACTTTAGATAAAATTTCCACCATACTGTGAACATCTTTAGAAACATCATGAACCGGCCACGATATGTCATGAATCACGGACCATACGACCTTTTTATATCCTAAGAAACAAAAAATAAATAAATGTAACAAATCATTTACTCATAAAGACATTCTTTAGAAATCTATTGTTCTTACGGTCAGTAAACACAAAAATATTTGCTGCAACTGCGTAAAAACACTATTGATATTGCGCATTTAATAAATACGACGGGGTTTTTTAAAAGAAGCATTTCACAATAACAAAACTAATCGTAATCTCAACGTTCACGTTTTTCGTTTTAACACTATATTCCGCCTGTAAGTACACTCATAAATTAGTTCCAACCAGTATTTCATTTTAATATTTATAATCTACTGATAATTGTATCACTGCATCATATTACTCTTATATAAAATTATCATGCATATACATAATATTCTTATTATACTGAAGATGCCATCATGAGATGTTGAAACATGTTTATTTTAAAACAACTCGTCGTATTTATTAAATGCAAAAAATATTTAAATAGCGAGAGTAAAGTCAGACTGACTACGCTACTGCATAAACATATACATATGAACTTTGTATGAAAGAGAAGTGTATTGATTTATTTGCAACCAATTATTTAAAGCAGAGATTTAAATATGTTTATAGAAATTTCCTTTTATCCGAATGATTCTGACTTTTCTCTTATAGAAACGTATTGATTGTAGGCACGTGTTTCTGATTTTTCCTTTAAGATAATGAATATTTTATTGTTTTATTGCAGGTATGTCGAAGCCTGTAATTGAATGTTGAATCTTCTTTAATGATGAACAAATGGTGTAAAAGCACAACAAAGAAGTATCAAAAGACCAGTTGCTAAAAATACTATCTTCACACAATTATAAAAGTAACTAGTATGGAATGAAGATACTGGACTGGATTACTTTGACTTTAATTTTTTATATACAGCTATACAACCATTGTAATTATACAAAAAAATCACTCCACACAAAGACTGGAGCACATAATGACTTAAGTTTCAACATCAGATCACTTTTTAAAGGACACTAATCACCAGACAAAAATATATTAAAACTTTTTACATTGATCATATCAGATAAGGCGACTCGCAATTTTGATATCTGGAATTCAACTCTAAGATTCACTTCTTGAAGACATCAAATATAGAACCAGAGATCATACCAAAAACGTTTTGATCTACATATCAAATTGCCTGTGATTCTTGGTTTTCTAATTTATTCGTATAAATGTAATTTAGAGAAACTACAACCTATAATTCTAATTTGAATCGATGCCGCATCAGCAAAAAATAAAAGGAAAAATACGAATAGCTCACAAATACAGGCATGGAGAATATTTTGTCGTCTGCTGAGTCTTTGTTATTCAGCTTTGTCTCAAAACATGGTGACTAATGATTGTCAATTTCAAAAGGTCAACTTAACGCCAACGAAGTACAAAGTGAACAAAAATGTAATGAAATATTTAAGAACTGACAATTAATATTGACAAGGAATTCAATACCTTTTTGATGACAAAATTTCGTCCGTAACCACAAGACTGTCCAAATTCTTACTATCCGCCATATTGCATGACATCATTTAACCAGTGAACTCAATATTTAAATAACTGGAATGAAAGCATAAATTGAAACCAGTTAGGCAATTGCGCTTCATGATTTATACATGTTGTAAAATTTTGTGTCATTGCTTCAAAGCCATGTCTTCTTTTCTGTTAATCACCAATATAAGCCGAAACACAACGTTAACTAGCATTTGCAGTCAAATCATTAAGGAAATTTAATTTACCCGATCATTTTGAATGTTTAAAATGAATATTATCATGACGATATAAAGCAAAACAGGAAAGGACAAGAACAGCACCATCTTATTAACACTAACAAAATCAACTCAATCGACTAAAACTCCTTGTTTCTCACGTTAGGTAAATTCATGTGATGAACGACTATATCACGAGGAATATTATCGAAAGATTTGTGGGGTAGAAAATTTGAGTTATTATATCAGCGACTTTAACTAGTTAAACAGACACTTCGTAAGAACTACCGTAGTAATTGAGTTTTCTCATAGTGGGTTAGAATATTCTGATGATTCCAAAATACAATCCACTTTCACAATGCCAAATCGTACATCCAGTGCCTACGTATACTGAGTTGTAATTTTCCTTTCTAAAAGGTAAGTTCTTTATTACTTCTATACAAATTACAATCATTGTTAAATAATTTTAATGAACAAGCAAGCGGTTGATAAACTAACCTATAGATTAAGACATTAAAGTGAGCAGTCGCCGCAGAGTGTTTGATTTGAGCATTTAATAATTTAAATTTCAATTCAGAACTATTCTTGACTTGCAACCATTCTCTTGAGATTTACCAAACAATGTTGCTCACCTACGTCGGCAAGTGCCAACAATAACACTGATAAAATATTCATTTCTATCAAACTGCCAACATGGCTGAATTGCAAGTCAAGAATTCACTCTCATCAAATGTTGTCAGTAGATGTTAAATAACTTCAACACGCATTTTACTGCACGTTCGAGTACAAGAGTTTAGATTGATCCTAACGAACAGCCAATACGACAAGAATAAAAACCAACCCGGAGCAGCAACTGCACCATCATTTCTACCGTTTATAGGATATAAATGAATGACAAAGATGAATTTAATAAACATTAAGTGAGCAGGAGGCGGACAAAAAAAGAAACTGAACTATAAATAACACGTGATTACTTGAAGATATCAATAGACTACTTGATATTACATGACGAGAAGAAACTGTTTTACTTGGGGTTCGTCTGCTCATATTCTTAGGAAGTGAAAGCTCATACATCATAATCGTTGGTGTGTGTTCCAACCATTGAGCTCTATAATAACTGGAGCGGCTAACTTTACTGGGGCGAGATGCCAAAAAAATGGCGGCCAAAGGACGTATTTCCGCTGAAATGATCGCTTTGCAGAAAAATAAGATCATCGACCTCCCCCTGGTGTCTATAGTAAATTATAAGGAATTTTTCAAAAACAAACATGATATCACAGAATATGGATATCGTTAGTTCCATATTCTGTTGCGATATCTTTTTTGGCATTTCTTTTATAATGCCAACACTTCAATCGTTCAATTGTTGGATGTCGTAGTTTCCACAAAAAGGAACATATCGCTTCTCACAGGTGAGATAGTTGTTTGTTTTGTTAGTCCGTCAACGATTGAATAGCAATTATACATGCACTTGAAAAGCCATAAAATACATATTACAGATCGTATTTTGTAAGACTGACTTGAACGCCAAATATACTGATGTTTTCCTGTTTTTGTTTATAAAATTCTGCATACTTTTCTGTCATTTGTTAATGCATGAAATCGTAAACTTACCCATTTATTTGCAAAATAGTTTCCCTAAAGCAAAAACGACCCTGCACACATTTTGCTCTGTGAGTAAGTATCAAAAAGAAATGATTATCCCCAACGGTACCCATGATTTGAAGCAGAGCTTGTTATGTTCTATTTGCTGACAACATGCAGGGAAGATCAAGGAGTAAAGATGACTGGAAGATGTTATTGACCAGGCAGAGTCTTAAAAAATGATAATGCTGTAAAGATAATTGATTTATTGTCTGCTCTATCCAGAGTTATTTAATTTGATCATGGTTAAATTCTATGGATGGAGACAATGGATTCACTAAGGATGCCTTGAATGCTTTGAAGTTAAAGTTCATGATCCAAAGAAAGATGGCAAGGTTGTGTGTGTTTTGATGCTTAATGAAATGTCAATTCACAAACATGTAAAATGGAAGGCCATAAAGTTTGTGTCTATGTAAACATTTGTACTGAGATTGATGATGACTCAATGCAGA